ATTTGCATATTTCACCATGCTCCTGGAATACGCTCTGACTGTTGTCTCCAGTCGTGTTCTTTCTCCCACGTTTTTGTTCGGGAGCTAAGCAAGAGACGCTGGTGTCGAACATACGTCTGGGCGGAGCATAAGGCTCGCATGCTTTCACTAGTACCTAATCGATAATTTCTGAAGCAGTGACCACTGATACACACTTTACGAAAGGTTTAGACCATACTTTATGTATTACTATCGATGATTTTAATTTTTTTCGACATGTATCTTTTAACTTGATTATGCCTTCGTAGGTACCCCATACAGCTTCTCCTTTGACAAAACGGGTTCGTGTCACTACCTCAGACCATTGCAGCATTTTTCGCATCTCAAAATGGTTGGTTAATGTTATCGTAACTTAGTGTCACGCCATTTTGGGTGGTGGCCCGGTGGTAACGTCACCAAATTATCACCCGAGGGATGTGTTCGAATCCAACCACCACCGCCTGACTTTCCCCATTGTGTATTGAATCGCAGCCCTTTGATTGACCGCTTCTCTCTTCCTGAAAATTGTCTGTTCCCATACCCAGTTCCGTACCATTTTCATTTCTATCCACTAAAGAAATCCAGGCTGTCTCAGTTTAAGCTTATTGTACCTAACAATTATTCAGCTTGTGCATGTTCTCTAGAAATATCAGACAGCTTCTGCTGAGGAATTATTACCAACTGCCTTCTCGTAAAGGGGGTGTTAACATTAAATTTTGAAATCAAAGCGAATGCCCGGCGCCTTCCAACAAGTTGATTGACCATAGGTAGTCAGTCTAGAGGGGTCCGTCAAACCACTCACTTTTGGCGTAAGAAGCTCATTGTGGCACCGATCATCGGCACAACCGAGCCGGTTTCCAATGTTCACCTTTAATGTCGACCACCGTGACGCCCACCGGTCAGTACGCTGCTCAAGGACAATTTAGGTACCCTGGATAGGCGTATGAACTGATCAGCCAGTCATCGGCTCACTCTGCTGTGTATCAGGTTCTTTAACCGAAGTCTTTCGGTAGGATCCTCCAGGAAAACCTCCTGCTCCGGCCTAGGCAACCGGGTAGTACCACGCCCTGAATATCACGCATCTCCAATAAAGTTTCTTCGAAGTACCGACCGATTGCTTTTACCTCAAAACTGATGAAAATTTCCGATTTTTGTTGAACCAGATTTTTATTAAACGCCTTTCTGAATGTGATCTGACATTCAGTTCAGTTTGAATAACCATTAACCATGCACATGACATTAGATGTGATAAATGTCCCTCTCACAGGAGGCAGTTCACTTCATATAGCGGTAAAACTTGCACTTCTTTCGATTTTTATTCTGGAGTTTTTAATGTACAATTTCGCCTCGATTCTTTTTTTCTCTGCTCATAAATATCCTTCTAAACTTTAGGGCGTATCAGTAGGTGAATAATGTGGTAATGTGAAGTCCCTCGACTAGTCTTGGCAATTTCCGCCAACTGCTATACTTTGAAACATTGAGTCCCCTTTAACCACTTCATTAATACAGAAAGAACACAGATGTCGCAAAATCTTAACATTTCGTTTAATCTTCTCAATCGCTGACTTAAAACAAACAGGCACATACATAGCACATGAGGTTAATAAATTATGGTGAACGACCGTTTACAAGCATACACAGGCTACTGAATATAGAAATAGAAGGTCAACTCAACGGGGAGTTGATTGGTTGTATCAAAAACGTTTGTGCGCATAATGTCAGGTGATGTAGTCGAATAAGCAACGCCTCACTTATTGTTAAAAGTTTAGCATTGCGATTACGTAATTAGTTTGAAAGACGAATTGGCTTGCGCTCAAAGGTGACCACATTTACAATGATGTGCGCCGGAGGTCAGCTCTAGACTATACATTCCCATCTGCTCAACTCAGATTCATTGCTTCCACTGCTTGTGGAATTAATTTTCACTAACGTAAACATAGCTGGCAATCCGGTTCCGTCTCACAGTGTACACCAGTTCGTCTGCAATTGTGGTGACGTCACCGGCAGAACAAACCGTCAGCTCTCACAACGGATGGCCGAACATACTTAAGAGGCTAGTGAAATCGACGGTACAACCGATTATGAATAGTCAGGTGATCACGAGAAATCCAGGATTATCTGTTGCAAAATATTTCGTAACAACCAGACACAGTTGACCCCAATTCGTCTTTTGAACCACTATTACATAATCGCAATGCTAAACTTTTGACAATTAGTGAAGCGCTGCATCTTCGATTTCGCCTGCCCTATGAGCCAATATGTTATTGAGACTCGTAATTGTCTATTTACCTGAACTGACTGTATCTGCAGTTCATCCTGTTTGTATCCGAGTTCACGCTGTTCAGTGGGTCTTTAGTCCGAATCCGAGTTATCATCATTCAAGTTCATGTACTATTCCGATTATCCAAGTTTTCTTTCTTACAATGCATCACCTCACAAAATCCCATAATGCGTTAACTGTAGTCAAGTTACGTTCTGTCTTATGTGACGGTGTAGCCTACCACACGAGGTAAATTGAAAGATTATCAGGTGACGAACCTCTACACGATCAATGTGAGCATAGGAAAAAGGGCTTCAGAGATGAGATAAATTGTCTGGCCTAGCCTTATCCTTCTACTCGTTTTGGTCATGTTTGATAATATTTGTGAGCAAAAAGATTAGACAGTTGTTGCAAAGTATTAAGGAGTATAGGCCAGCTTACTTGACCACAGATAGAAGCAAACATTTCACGTGCAATCGCGGCAGCCGCTGGTTTAGTCACCGGGTCTGCAGGTGAGCAGCAAGCCCTTCAAAAGCTTTTCTTAAGTGATATCTTCCACTCCCCAAAGTGGTTGCCATTCCAACAAGAAACCTATTGTTTTGCTCTCACACCTAGTTTGTGCACTCACTTGGCTTCAACCGAGCACCAGGCCAAGTGGGTGGACGTGATCGATCCTTTTTTAACTAGTCATGAAAATCAACGAATCATAC